TTGTTTTACTTGTTTTTGACATATCCGACAGAACTACACACTTTCCAGTGATGTCTGGGAGAAAGATATATTCACTCGACAAGCTCACACATCTGCGTCGCCGTGCGCTCAATCTATTCAGCGTGCTTTGTTTATCAGCTCACGCACACCAGCTATACAGGCGTTAATACTGAATGTTTAACATTATATTCATTGCATACATATGTAGTAGACATCCTTAACTCCTTTCTGTTGTTCTGTTGTCGGTGTTTCTTTGTCTGAATATGGCGCTTATCACATGCTGTGTGGTATCGGGGCATTTTAACGAGTACGAGTACAGGAGCTCACTATCGGGCCCGATATCGGTATCGGTGCATCCCTAATTATTTCCAGTTTGAAGAATGTGTGATAAATCACAGACGGCGTTTATTGTGCCATGTTGAGTGGTTTATTAAGGACAGCTGTAAGTTGTGATTTATGTTTCTGCTAGATGCAGACCAAAATAACCGATACGGGGAAAACTGAAAGTCTGAGACTCTGAGAAAATCCTCATCAGAATGGAGAACGGAGCTACATGAACATAACCTGATGCAGACCATCCAAAGAGCATCAAGAACATCTGACAAAGACTCGCATGATCAGTGTCACTCATTTACTGACACTAGATTAGTCACCTAGAGCGGCAGAATCTGAACGATTTCCAGGTTTTAATGAGGTCTCAGAGTTTTGGATCCCAGTTTATGTTGATGAACGGCACTGAATGATTAACATCACACTCTCTCCTGTGTGTGTGCGCTTCAGTGCTAATTCACTCATAGCACATGCTAACGGTTTGTTTTCCATCGCTCTCTTTTTCTGACAGGATGAGGCTGGATCCACAGAAAGAAGTGCGAGCAGTAAACGGGAAGTGGAAGGACTGGGTATGTGTCATGAGTTAAAGTGTTCACATGTAGTGTTTAACTGCAAAAAAATTAGCTAACTAAAATGGCAAAGCAACACACTCAAAGAAATGCTGGGATGTCCTTTGCTTTTCTAACTGAAATGAAACCTTTTACTTTATATAAAATGTGTCTGTCAGCATCCTCGGCTTCTGCTGACCTTTACATCTAGAGAGGAGAATCACGAAACCTTTCACGTCTGTGCACAGATACAAGCAGAACATACACCACCGTCTTTTACAGGAGTCTCTTCTGCTCATCAAGGCTGCGTTTATTTGATCAAAAATACAGGAAAGAAATTAAAACTTTTATTCAGCAAGGATGTGTCAAGTTAAGAAGTGATAGCAAAGATTTATATTGTTAGAAAATATTTATATTTTGAATAAATGCTGTTATTTTTAACTTTTTATTCATCAAAGAATCCTGAAAAAAGTATCACAGTTTCCAAAAAACAATATTTGTGCAGCACAACTGTTGATAATTCTAATAATAAATCAGCATATTATACTGATTTCTGAAGATCATGTGACACGAAGACTGGAGGAATGATGCTGAAAATACAGCTGCGCATCACAGACATACATTATATTTTAAAGGATATTCAAATAGAAACCATTATTTTATATTGTAATAACATTTAGCAAGATTAATTTTTTTTTCTGTATTTTTGATCAAATAAATGCAGAACAGAGTCACGTGACAGACACAGTGATGAAGCTGGTATGTGTGCAGTACACAAGCCACGGTTAAGACAGTTCTCTTTCTCTCTCTCTCTCTCTTTCTCTCTCTCGCACACACACACACACACGATGCGCAAAACTCTGCCTCTCTCGCTCACACACACACCTCCACTAACCTAGTTTGATACATTTTTGTCATAGATTATAAATATGCATAGGCCTATATTTTTTCATATTTGTTTATTTTATTTTTCTTTATAATGAAGTAGTCTGTATCTAGTAGATTGTGAAATAATGATTATCAGTTCCACACACAGATATATATATATATATATATATCAATTCTACATTTATTTAAATGAGGGGAAAAAACGTCACTGGTATCGGATCGGTATCGGAGGCGAAAAAGGTGGATCGGAGCATCCCTATTTCAGTTCTATGGAAAAGTAGTCTGTTGGTCTCAAATTGCCGGAAACATACTACGTACAACAAAAAAAGACAAGATACAGAAAGAAAATTCTAATTTTAATCGTATTTCTATTCATCACTTCAGTGTAGGTGTTTCCCGTTGCTGTTTGTGTTTTTCTCAGTTACTCAAACTAAACTTAAAAATAGCGCATGAGGCATTCAGTTAATGATTGGTTGTCTGTTGCTCTACGTCCTGGCATTGCTTTGTTTGGCGCTGCTTTGCTCATAGTGCAGTGCTGAGCCTCTTTCACAGGTGTGAGACGTTGCTGAAATCAGGGGTCATCTGTTAAAAGAGTGGCCTTAACCCAGAGTTAAAGACTTCAGGGTTCAGCATAGAGTGAAAGTCACCAGACGGATTGTGCTGCTGTTGGTTTGCAGTTGCAGAGATGACTGCGGTTCAGTTAGCACTGACTGTCAAATAATGACGTCTGTGATTGCTGGACTTTGACTAGCCTGATTTAGGATGGTCAAGTACACCAACACAACTGCACCTGTGTGTGTGTTTTTTTGTCCATGAATGTTTTCCCTATTTTAAAACGGTGTGAAATGTTATTGTGGATGTGTTTACTGTTTGGTTAGGGAATGGGGCGGGGCCTGACGCTCCAGGGGGCGGAGCCGACGCTGAGACGGACATTAACCTGGAGGTGTCGTTCTCCGAGCAAGCACTTATCTACAAAGAAGGGTTGAAGGTTACCCAGCCCCAGAATGAAGCTGACGACAGGTTACCCGTGAGTCAGACATTCACTCCTCAGGTTAACACTCATGCATGTGTGTGTGTGTGTGTGTGTGTGTGTGTGTGTGCTGGAGCAGTGCAAAGTTTATGCACCACAGTAAGCAGAGTCCAAGAGATGACTCGCTCTGATTGGCTGCTTGAGGATAAAGGAATTTCGATGCTTATATGGTTATGAGTCTCAGAGACCTTTGATCTGACTGAATATGTTTAGAGTGCAGAAATGTCTCAAATGAAAGATTTAAAGCATTAGTTGGATGACTGACCTGACACTCTGATCTGTCTGTGTGCTCTTAATGAGTGGCCTCTGCTGGACAGTCTGTTGCACTGCATGCTGCTCTGGGTTTACTCTCTTTTATGCATCCATTCGCTTTTCAACTTCTTACTGCTGTTTGCCAAAGCAAAACTCCAATTATCACTATTAACTTTAACTTTTTGCCTTAATAAACTCCTAATTTGCTGCTTACTAATAGTTGGTAAGGTAGTTGTTAAGTTTAAGTATGCGGTCGGATTAAGAGATTTAAAATATGCTCATGCAGGATTAATATGTGCTTTATAAGTACTAATAAACAGCCAATATGCTAGTAATATGCATGCTAGTTGATAGTGAGAATTGGTCCCTAAACTAAAGTGTTACACAAAAACAACTATTAGTATATTGCATTATATTTACTTGAATGTAGAAGTTGAGTTTGTGCGGTGTTTGAGCTCCAGACATGAATGATTCCTCAAAGCAGGTGTCTTGTTGATCAGATGCACCGTTTCTGGTGGATGGTAAAGCAGCTAAAAAATTCTGACACTAAAGGAGGGGCGGCATAATTAGAGACTAAAATATCATCGCAGCACCCAACTCACAACCGCTCAGAATACCAACAGATAGCATTTTATAAACGTGTCCATGTGTTTGTTTCTTATTCTGTTTCTCCTCTGTCTGTCTTTCTCAGGATTTTAGAGTGTCTCAGGATAAGACCGGACAGACAAGAGTAGGCGATCTCTCCGCTGAGGACATGAAGAAGGTTCGCAGGCTTGTTCTGATCGAGATGAGCGCTCTGTTCGACACGTGTGGCATCGAGGTGAAAGCTCATAAAGCTCTCAAGGTCAAAGTGAGAGGTCAGTGCCTCTGAAATGTGTACCAGATCAAATGACTGGATCAGAGAGTCCACTGTATATTTTTTGTGCGCACTTTGCAGAGCATTTCACATCCATTTAGTTCACACACACGTGCATGCTGGAGACACACGCTCACAAATCCCCTTAAAAAAAGAGCACTTTCATGTCCGAGCTTTCATTGGTATTGATGATGATTAATGTAATTCTGTGTGGACGTGAGCACTGTATCAGATTACGAATCCTCTTCTGGCTGTATCCGAGGTGGAGCTGGTTGTGACTGTATTGTTTTGTCTTCCGTAGAGTCGGGTTTGTTTGGTGTTTCTCTCTCTACGCTGCTGGAGCAAGACCAGCGGAGGATCCCGGGAACCAAAGTGCCTCTTATCCTGCAGCATGTAAGAGAGCAGAGCCTGAACTATTTCTCTACAAACACTCACCTTTGTTTACTTCTGTGTGTTGCTCTGCAATGCACAACTGTTTCTGAGGAGCTACATTGTTTGGTGGAAGAATACTTTTTATTAATATCATTACTTCGCGTCATGCCTAACAACGCCCCTTAGCTGTTATAAATTCACTGAAAACCACGGCTTCACGGGGCTTATTGCTTTATTAACAGATATTCACACAGAAAACTGTTCATTTAAATTACCTCTCCTAACAAACCATACATCAACGGAAAGCTTATTTATTCAGCTTTCATATGTATAAATATCAATTTCGTAAAAATTTAGCCTTATGACTGGTTTTGTGGTCCACGGTCACAATTCTCACTATTAACTTGCTGCTTATTAGCTTGCATATTACTAGCAAATTGGCTGTTTATTAGTACTTATGAAGCACATATTTAGTGCTTTATTCTGCATGAGCATATTCTACATCTCTTAATCCTACCCAGTACTTAAGCTTAAGAGCTACCTTACTAACCTTATTAATAAGCAGCAAATTAGGAGTTTGAGGCAAATGTCACAGTTAATAGTGAGAACTGGTCCTTAAAATAAAGGGTGATCTGTTTTATGTGTTTATGGGCTTAACTATGTTATCAAACAGCTAATGTGTTACACAAACCATATTCCTGCGATATGCTATTGATATGAAGAGCGTATTGGTTACGTGTGTGTGACAGTAGGAAACGGCTTAAGGAGAAAATGCTCAGCAGTGAAAATTAGGTTGATGAGTTTGCACATGGTTTGTCTTTAAGCACCAAAGAGACGTAAACCACGTTGAAAGCTTGATTTTCCTCTCAGGGGGTCTTTAGCATCAGTCTGGAGGGGTTAAATGTTAGACTCCAGTCTATTCAAACGGAGGACTAAAGCAGATCCAGCTGGATGGTGTTTCTGTGTCTTTCAGGCTCTGATGGAGTTCTTTCAAAGAGTGACTGACCATAAGGACAGGAATAAGATGACGCTGAACAAGTATAAATCTCAATTTCGTAAAAAATGACTGGTTTTGTGGTCCACGGTCACAATTCTCACTATTAACTTGCTGCTTATTAGCTTGCATATTACTAGCAAATTGGCTGTTTATTAGTACTTATGAAGCACATATTTAGTGCTTTATTCTGCATGAGCATATTCTACATCTCTTAATCCTACCCAGTACTTAAGCTTAAGAGCTACCTTACTAACCTTATTAATAAGCAGCAAATTAGGAGTTTATTGAGGCAAATGTCACAATTAATAGTGAGAACTGGTCCTTAAATGCATAAAACAGATCACCCTTTATTTTATGGGCTTAACTATGTTATCAAACAGCTAATGTGTTACACAAACCATATTCCAGCGATATGCTATTGATATGAAGAGCGGATTGGTTACATGTGTGTGACAGTAGGAAACGGCTTAAGGAGAAAATGCTGAGCAGTGAAAATTAGGTTGATGAGTTTGCACATGGTTTGTCTTTAAGCACCAAAGAGACGTAAACCACGTTGAAAGCTTGATTTTCCTCTCAGGGGGTCTTTAGCATCAGTCTGGAGGGGTTAAATGTTAGACTCCAGTCTATTCAAACGGAGGACTAAAGCAGATCCAGCTGGATGGTGTTTCTGTGTCTTTCAGGCTCTGATGGAGTTCTTTCAAAGAGTGACTGACCATAAGGACAGGAATAAGATGACGCTGAACAATGTTGCAGTGGTGATGGCACCCAACATCTTCATGTGTAAGGGCTTCCGCAGTAAGATCAGTGAACAGCAGGAGTTCGCTATGGCCACTGGCACCGCTAACATCGTCAGGCTGCTCGTCCGCTACCAGAACCTCCTCTGGACGGTATGACTATGTTATACCACATATTACAGTCATGTGAGACTGAATGTTGCTTTTCAGAGAGGTTTCGTTTCTGAGACTCGGCTGAAGACGCAGTGGATTACATTGTTTGCGCCCCCGATCTACATAAATGCGTCTGTTCGCACAAATCATTCGTGATCCAGCCTCATCTACAGAAGAAGTGAGTGTAATGTTTTGTAATGAATCTTTGCAAATGGCCTTTCCTAATAATGTGCTAATTGGCTAGTTTCACGATGAATGCGGCTAAAGTAAACAGTCTCACTGAGAGCGGCTCGGAAGAGAGGGGCGGAGTCAGCAGAGCTCATTAACATTTAAAGGAAAATGACAAAAACGGCTTGATCTGGAAAGAGCTGTTTATGACCGGGTAAAAAAGGTGTTGTTTACGCTACCATTGAGAAATTTAAACCAAACTATGTTACAGACTTTTCATTAAGACCCTAAAGAATCATATCAACTTGTGGGAAATGGGCATCCGATGACCTCTTTAAAAACAGAATCTCATATCTGATGGTGCACTACAGATCAACAGAAAGCTGCAATACTCTTTAAAAGTTTGGGATTGGCTGCATTTATTTGATCATAAATACAATAAATATTGTGAAATATTATTACGGTTTAAAACAGCTGTTTTCTTTGTGAGTCTCTGTTAAACTGTAATGTATTTCTGTGATGCGCAGCTGTATTTTCAGCATCATTCCTCCAGTCTTCAGTGTCACATGATCTTCAGAAATCATTCTAAGATGCTGATCTGCTGCTCAAGAAACATTTCTGATTATTATCAATGTTATTTTTGTGGAAACTGTGATGCATTTTATTTTTCAGGATTCTTTGATGAATAGAAAGTTCAAAAGAACAACATTTATTTGAAATCTTTTGCAACATTATAAATGTATTTACTATCACTTCTGATCAATATAATGCATCCTTGATTAATAAAATCATTATTTTTTAATACTTCAGTTAGTTTGTTTTCTGTGAAATCACTGCTGTGATGCTGTAGAAATATATAGAGAAGAGTTGCCGGACTAGCATGGCTCATCGTATGTGACGATCGAGATGCTCAAATGAGTCTTTTCTTGTGTCTCAGATTCCCAAGTTCGTCCTGAATCAGGTGCGCAAACACAACACGGAGAACCAGCGGAAGATGAACCGAGACCGAGCGGTTAAAAAACTACTGAAGAAGATGGCGTACGACCGCGAGAGAGCCTCTGACAAACAGGAGAAAAACACTGAGGTGAGAGGAGTTACACAAACACCGAGCACTACACTGAGCTGAAGGACGGATCAAATCTAAGCAGGAAATATAATCAGACATCATAGACATTACAGTTGTGTGTGTCCGTGTCAGCTGAATGATCAGCAGCCTCCTCTCTGACACCTAGTGGACAGACTGAGCGACTGCATGCTGTGACTGTCTTCAGCATCATTACTCCAGTCTTCAGTGTCACATGATCTTCAGAAATCATTCTAAGATGCTGATCTGCTGCTCAAGAAACATTTCTGATTATTATCAATGTTATTTTTGTGGAAACTGTGATGCATTTTATTTTTCAGGATTCTTTGATGAATAGAAAGTTCAAAAGAACAACATTTATTTGAAATCTTTTGCAACATTATAAATGTATTTACTATCACTTCTGATCAATATAATGCATCCTTGATTAATAAAATCATTATTTTTTAATACTTCAGTTAGTTTGTTTTCTGTGAAATCACTGCTGTGATGCTGTAGAAATATATAGAGAAGAGTTGCCGGACTAGCATGGCTCATCGTATGTGACGATCGAGATGCTCAAATGAGTCTTTTCTTGTGTCTCAGATTCCCAAGTTCGTCCTGAATCAGGTGCGCAAACACAACACGGAGAACCAGCGGAAGATGAACCGAGACCGAGCGGTTAAAAAACTACTGAAGAAGATGGCGTACGACCGCGAGAGAGCCTCTGACAAACAGGAGAAAAACACTGAGGTGAGAGGAGTTACACAAACACCGAGCACTACACTGAGCTGAAGGACGGATCAAATCTAAGCAGGAAATATAATCAGACATCATAGACATTACAGTTGTGTGTGTCCGTGTCAGCTGAATGATCAGCAGCCTCCTCTCTGACACCTAGTGGACAGACTGAGCGACTGCAGTCAGTCTGTCCTTCATCTGCTGCGAGCGATGCAGTGTGAGAGAACTGAATGGACCGATATAAGGCTCTCAGAGGGGGTTATTTCTACACACAGAAAAGATCCTGCGGATACAGACACTTGATTTGTATTTTAACCCTGTAAAGCCTGCTGTATCATGTGTGACTCTGCAGCACAAAAGCAGTGTTGAGTCGCTGGGGGATATTTGTAGCAATAGCCAACAATACATTGTATGGGTCACAATTATACATTTCTCTTTTATGACAAAAATCATTAGGATATTACGTAAAGATCATGTTCCATGAAGATAGTTTGTTAATCTCCTACCGTAAATATATCAAAACTTAATGTTTGATTAGTAATATGCATTGCTAAG